GCATGCCTGTAATCCCAGCTACTTGAGAGGCTGAGTCAGAAGAATCTCTGGAACCTGGAAGGGGGAGGTTGCAGTGAGCCAATATTTCGCCACTGCACTCCAGCCTGGGTGGCAGAGCGAGACTCCATCTCAAAAAAAAAGAAAGACAACAGAACACCCGCTCTGAATTAGAGAGAGTTTCCTGCACTAGAAGAATTCACATTTGCAACTGTCTTCCTTGTTCTTTCCTTCTAGTGACAGATGAGAACAGTGAGTCTGACAGTGACACAGAGGAGAAGCTGAAAGGTGAGGAGAGCCATTGCTGAGCAGGATGCAGGCAGGTGATTTGGAAGCTGCAAAGGTGGCCCCTCCTCCTCAGTATAAGGGACAGAAGCGTCCTGCTCCAGCTTGCTTGGCAAGGCAATGGAGGGGGGACAGTGGGGCCACAGAGTGCTCCGGGCCAGTCAGTCAAGGGTATGATCAAAATGGCACTGCAGTCGCTGAGAGCAAGGGTGGCTACAGTTACGGCAGTGACCCTGCTCCCATACCTCTCCCTATGTCCTGAGTGTTTTCAGACTTCGAGGCTTGGCACTGCAGCCCCAAGGCTCCAGAGACCTGGAACTCCTGCCGCACTTCTGTTCAAATTACTGTGTGATCTGGAGGAAATCACTTAAGATTAAGGGCCACTAGTTCCTCATCTGTCTGATGAAGTTGAAATAATTGGTCCCTGTGGGTCTAAAATTAGATGGTCCAGGCCTAGGCTTTAGTGACTTTTCTGCAATATTTCAGACCCCAGGGAGAAGCCAAAGGAAGCAAGTACAGGTTGCTGAACAAGGTGACAGGGACCTGTCCGCTCAGTGACCCTGCTGCATTCACCTCTGACACCCAGCTGCTCCCAGACCCACCTCTAGAATGAAGCAAGGCCATTTCGTTGCAGAGTTAGTGGCAGGAGGGGAGGTGGACAGGAGTTCCTGAGTTAGTGGGGTCTCTGCCAGTTGAGTCACACAGGATGTTTACAAAGCTCCCAACTCCAAAAGCCCTATGGTCTGGATTCTGTCACATCACACAAACCGAAAGACAAGGGAAATGGCTGAGGGGAGGAGTCACTGTCCGCACCCCATCAGATAGTTGAAGGCAAGGACATCAGCCACTGCCCAGAGTCCAGACAGCAAAACCATGGCAGAGCAGAGCCATAGTTCCAGGCTCCAGCACCCTGATTGGTCTGGTAGCCAATTGAATGTTGCTTCTCCCAGAACTTTGGCAGAGATCCCAGATAAAGAGTTTCCTACTAATTTGTTAGACACAGAAACACTTTGGGGATTAGATAAAAGTACTTGAGCTGAGAATTACATAACTTATTGTCGGTTCAGTTCCACATGGGCTCATGGTCATTTCAGTCTCCTGCGCTCTCTGTGTGTATGTGTCTCTCTCTCTCTCTCTCTCTCTCTCTCTCCTTCCCTTATCCAGCTCACAGCCAGCGCCTGGTCAATGTGAAGTCCCGCTTGAAGCAGGCACCTCGGTACCCATCACTTGCCCGGGAGCTCATCGAGTACCAGGAGAGGCAGCTCTTCGAGTACTTTGTGGTTGTGTCTTTGCACAAGAAGCAGGCTGGGGCTGCCTACGTGCCAGAACTCACCCAACAGTTCCCTCTGAAGGTACGGGGAGGCCAGGGTCCTGTGGCCTGCCAGGGTTCTAACCATCACCTTATTGGGACTCATGAATTCAGGGAGGCGTGGGAGTCTGAGGAACACCTAGCATCTAGAATCTTGAAAATGGATCTTAATTAGGGTATATCAGATGAAAAAAAAAAAAAAAAAAAAAAAAAGGAAAAAAAAAAAAAAAAAAAAAAAAAAAAAAAAAAAACTGCTGCTGCTAGAGAATTTGGGAGGTCCCACAAAGGAGAGATTCGGGGACTCAAAAAGTATGGCCAGACAAATGCCAACATTAGCCGGGCATGGTGGCACGCGTCTGTAGTCCCAGCTACTCAGGCTGAGACAGGAGAATCGCCTGAACACAGTACTCCAGCCTGGGCAACACAGCAAGACTCCGTCTCAAAAAAAAAAGTATGGCCAGAAATGCTTTCTCATTTCTTGTGGTCCCTGTGCTGGCTATGCCATCCCCTTTGTCCTCCCCTTCCACCTCCTTACCCAGCCAGCCACATCTCTTCCTAACCTAGCCTAGAAGCCTCTTTCCCTCAAAGCCCCAGCATGTCTCCCTAAGCGGCATCATGTTTGTGTCTGTGCTGAATGTCTGCTTCGCTTGTGCACTGTGCATCTCTGTGTATGTGCAGGAAAGTCCTTTTGTTACAGGAAGGGAATCTCCATACCCCTAGAGAGTGTTCTTGGATCTCCCACAAAAAAAGAATTCAGGCCAAGTCAGCAGAGTAAAGTGAAAGCAAATTTATTTAGAAAATAAAGGAGGCCGGGAGCGGTGGCTCACACCTGTAATCCCAGCACTTTGGCAGGCCAGGTGGGCAGATCCCTTGAGGTCAGGAGTTCGAGACCAGCCTGGCTAACATGGTGAAACCCCATCTCTACTAAAAATTAAAAAATTAGCTGGGCGTGGTGGCAGGCACCTGTGGTCCCAGCTACTCGGGAGGCTAGGCTGGAGAATCGCTTGAACTCGGAAGGCAGAGCTGGCAAAAAGTAAAGGATCGAAAGAATGGCTACTCCATAAACAGAGCAACCCTGAGGGCTGCTGATTGCCCATTTTTATGGTTATTTCTTGATTATATACTAAACAACAGGTGGGTTATTCATGCCTCCCTTTTTAGATCATAAACTGTCATGGTGCTGGTGAGAGTGTAGCAGTGAGGACGGCCAGAAGCACTCTCATCACCATCTTGGTTTTGGTGAGTTTTAGCCAGCTTCTTTACTGAAACCTGTTTTATCAGCGAGGTCTTTATGACCTGTGTCTTGTGCTGACCGCCTGTCTCATCCTGTGACTTAGAATGCTTTAACCATCTGGGAACGCAGCCCAGTAGGTTTCAGCCTCATTTCACCCAGCCCCTACTCAAGATGCAGTCGCTGTGGTTCAAACACCTCTGACACTTCTATGTCATGGACCATGGTTGTGTGGATTCAGCTTTACCATATGTTAAATCATGGCACCTGAAGTAAAATAAATAAAATGGCACTTAATATAACCTGAAGCAACATGGCCAATAATTTGTAAATTATTCTTAGGCTTTGGCATCAGTATTAAAGAGGTTTTTACCATATTCTAATTCAATTCAATCAGAATTTACTAAGAATATATTACATTCAAGCAATTTTCCACCTGGCCCTGGTGGAGTGACAGTGATGAACAAAACGTGTCTCCTGTCCTCAAGGAGTTTAAACTCTGCCAGGAGGACATAAAATAACCATCTTCTCCCACCCTCAGAAAAACATGCAGAGATTCACCAGGTAGAATCTGATGGTCTCTGGATAAACCCATGCCTCAGGGAGGGCAGAAGGGAGGGAGCGTCTGTCCTTGCCCACTCAGGGCCTCCCTTTGCCATCACCACCCAGGCATAACCCCAGCATCTTCCAAGGCCCAGATCCCGCTGTTCCCTGGCCTCAGCTCCTTTCCCAGGCCAGCCTTCCTTCCATACTCCCCACTGTGGTCCAACACCACAATCAAGCCCTATTTTTGGAGTTTAGGATAGCAATTATGTAGACTGAAGTAAACCATAGGCGCTGGCCTTCCAAAGGTGACACTCACTTCCTCTAGCTGTCACACCTCTAAGGAATGAGCCCCTGACACCCCACTGCCACAGATATGCCCAGATTTTTTTTCGGTGGGGTCGCCGCCCCATGGATAAGAGAGGCTGCTGGGTATGCCCACGCTGACTCACAATGGAGAGCACTGAGGCATGAAGGGCTATCTATCACCCTGTTCATTGCCTCGGGGCCCAGCACAATGCTGTTCACATGGCAATGCTTGATCAGTGTTCCAGGAATCAAGTTAATTAATGACTCACTATATGATCAAATGATGATCGTTTCCAGCCAGGAGTCACCCACATTAAATTTTTTTTGTTTCTAGAGCAAAGTTGCACAGTTACTGTTGAAAAGGGAACTGGGCTGGGCGAGGCGGCTCACACCTGTATTCCCAGTTCTTTGGGAGGGCTGATGCGGGAGGATCACAAGGTCAAGAGATCGAGACCATCCTGGCCAACATGGTGAAACCCCGTCTCTACCAAAAATGCACAAAAATTAGCTGGGCGTGGTGGCGCATGCCTGTAATCCCAGCTACTTGGGAGGGTGAGGCAGAAGAATTGCTTGAACCCGGGAGGCAGAGGTTGTGGTGAGCCAAAATCGCACCACTGCACTCCAACCTGGGTGACAGAGTGAGACTCCGTCTCAAAAAAAAAAAAAAAGAACAAAAAGGAACTGATCCAGAAATGTATTAGGAAAGAAATCACTAGTAATCCCGCCACACAGAGACCATCACTGTTAACATTTTCTTTCTCATCCAGTCTTTTCTCATGGTATAATTTTCTTACAAAACTGGAATCATACACTGCAGAATTTTTGTATCATGTTGCATGTACTCTTTTGTAAACCTCTCATTATTTATAAGCATATTTAATAAAAATTCTAAAACATCATTTTTCAAGTTATATATAATGCTCCAATATGTGAGTATTTCCTAGTCTATTTATCTACTTAACCAGTCCTCTTCTTTTGAAAATGTATCTGGCTATAAGTGGTTTTTTTGTTTGTTTGTTTTGTTTTTTTTTTTAGACAGTCTCACTCTGTTGTCTAGGCTGGAGTGCAGTGGCACAGTCTTGGCTCACTGCAGCCTCTACCTCCCAGATACAAGCAATTCTCCTGCATCAGCCTCCCAAGTAGCCAAGGTTACAGGCATGCACCACCACGACCAACTAATTTTTATATTTTATGTTTCACCATAATGGCCAAGCTGGTCTTAAACTCTTGACCTCAAATGCTCCGCCCGCCTCAGCCTCCCAAAGTGCTGGGATTACAGGCATGAGCCACCGTGCCCAGCCTCTGTGTGTATTTTTGAGACAGGATCTCACTATCACTCTTGTCATCCAGGATGGCATACAGTGGTACAATCACAGCTCACTGCATCCTCAACCTCCTGGGTTTAAATGATCCTTCCCGCCTCATCTTCCTGGGTAGCTAGGACTGCAGGCACATGCCACCATGCCCAGCTTATTGATTTTTTGTAGAGATGAGGTCTTCCTCTGTTCCCCAGGCTGGCCTCCAACTCCTGGGCTCAAGTGATCCACCTACCTGAGCCTTCCAAAGTGCTGGGATCCACTGTGCCTTGACTTTTTTTTTTTTTTTTTAAATGCAGCGATGAGGCCAGGCATGGTGGCTCATGCTGTAATCCCAGCATTTTGAGAGGCCAAGGTGGGTGGTTCACAATATCAGGAGATCAAGACCATCCTGGCTAACAGGGTGAAACCTCATCTCTACTAAAAATACAAAAAAATAGCCAGGTATGGTGGCACACCCCTGTAGTCCCAGCTACTCAGGAGGCTGAGGCAGGAGAATCGCTTGAACCCGGGAGGAGGAGGTTGCAGTGAGCCAAGATGGCACACTGCACTCCAGCCTGGGTGACAGAGCGAGACTAAGTCTAAAAAAAAATGCAATGGTGATCATCCTTGCACATGCATTTTTTTTCCTTGAGATGGACTCTTGCTCTTTCTCTAGGCTGGAGTACAGTGGCGCAATGTCGGCTCACTGCAACCTACGTCTCCCAGATTCAAGCAATTCCCCTGCCTCAGCCTCCTGAGTAGCTGAGACTACAGGCGCGCGCCACCACACCTGGCTAATTTTTTGTATTTTAGTAGAGAGGGTTTCATCATGGCCAAGATGGTCTCGATCTCCTGACCTCATGATCCACCCACCTTGGCCTCCCAAAGTGCTGGGATTTCAGGTGTGAGCCACCGCGCCCGGCCTATACATGCGTTTTTACATGTCAGCCTATTTTATATCTCCTTGCCTTTCCTCCCTTGCTCCCTCTGTAGGAAAGACTTTTTCCTCCTTCTCTCTCTTCTCTTTTTAACCTTTTTTTTGTGAGTTTTAGCCCTCACTTGTGTCAAGTCGCCTGAATCAAGGCACAGTCCTATTTGCATGCTAATGTTCGATTAAAATGTTTCCTATTGCCTATTTGTCTTTGACAATTCAAGGAGCCTGGGCTGTTTTCCAGCCATCTGTGATTGGCTGTATTTGTGGGAGATTTCTGTGTTCAGCTTTCTGTAACTGTGTTCCTGTGCATCTATGAGCCTGTGTGCGTATGCACTGATACCTCATAGGTTGATGACAGTGTGAGTAGGCACTTGTGCACCTGTATTTGTGTGTGTCATATGTGTGATCTGAGGTGGGTGCATGCAAGTGGTGACTGGGCTGTTGAAAAGGGCTGGAACTTGTTTTCCCATGAAGCCTGCTCTTTGGTCCTGAATGATGTTTCCTTTGTGGAGAAACGCCTTTGGAATTCTTCCCTTTGGAATTCTTCCTCCCTTTGGTATTCTTCTTCCCTCCTTTGGTATTCTTCTCCCCTTTGGTATTCTTTCTCCCTTTGGTATTCTTCTTCCCTTTGGAATTCTTCTTCCCTTTGGAATTCTTCCTCCCTTTGGAATTCTTCTTCCCTCCTTTGGTATTCTTCTTCCCTTTGGTATTCTTTCTCCCTTTGGTATTCTTCTTCCCTTTGGAATTCTTCTTCCCTTTGGAATTCTTCCTCCCTTTGGTATTCTTCTTCCCTCCTTTGGTATTCTTCTTCCCTTTGGTATTCTTCCTC